CCTTTGGTTGACAAATGGTAGAACCTCAGGATGCTCCTTCTTGCGGTAGCCGACCCCTCGGTTGATGAGTATGAACCCCCATCCGGTTGCTTGTAGCTCTAGGATGCTCCTTCTTATGGTAGCCGACCCCTCAACTGATAAGTGGTAGAACCTCAGGATGCTACTTCTTGCGATAGCCGACCCCTCGGTTGATGAGTATAAACCCCCATCCGGTTGGTGCAGTCCACTTTGTAGGACTGATGGTGGTGGCGGCTTACTGCTCTAGCTCATGCGTCAGTTGATGAGTATGAACCCCCCATCTGGCTAGTACAGTCCACTTTGTAGGACTGGTGGTGACGACTTACTGTTCTAGCTCATGCGCCATGATTTTGCCTATGTGTAGGTCTTTGTCTTCGGGACCTTCCTTATCCCGAAGTGGTGGTGGTGGCTTACTGCTCTAGCTCATGCGTCGTGTCTTGTGAGGAGTGTTTGATATTCTGTTTTTTTGACTTTTTTTGGTAAAGTCTTCCGGTGTGTCGAGGATTACCTTAGGAAATTTTGGAGCTTTGGAATTGTTTTGGGAATGGGTGCTCAAATAGTGGGGGTTGTACCTAGTTGTGTTAGTTCTTGGATTATTCATTTGTGTATATATGAGTGACTATCTTTTATCTTTGAGGTTTAAGAAAACAAAAAGAGAGAGAAATATGTTTGGGCTTGGGTGTTGTGTGAATATTGAAATTGGTGGATTTACTTTCATGTGTATTTTTGACTCATTCCCCACTGCTCTTCTATTTTCTTTGGTCTTTAAGCTACTTATCCATACATTTCATACCTTGTCCTTAGCCCCATTACAACCTTTGAAAGTCCTTTTGATCTTTATGTGCATGTGTTTTTGGTTGTTGATTTTAGAGGCTTGCCAAGTCTATGTGGTGCTTGTTTTTCGTGGGTGATTTGAGAGTAAATAGTAGCCTAAACACTTGAGTGATACAATGCATATCTTGTGAGGCTCTGTTGTTTTTCATTCACCTCTTGAGCAGATTGATTTTCTTGACATGTTTTGAATTATTTGGACAATGTCCATAGATGTCTGGTTTCTTTGACTCTTTGAGTGTTGGAGGTTGTCTATTCCTTTTGTTTCCCAGGTTTCATTAAGGAGTATGTAATTCTATTTATGTTTTTGTTTGTCTTTGTTTTTTTTTTCTATCCTTTGCATGATTTTCTTTAATGTTTTTTGATTTATTTCCTTGTTTTGCTTCTTAATTTTGCCCAAGAGTGCAAAAGGCTAAGTTGAGGTTATTTCATGAGTCATCATATTTTCATATTCTTTTACCTTTCTATACTTATTTTAATTAGTGTTTTGGGCTTAACTTTTTGTTATTAATGAATTTTTATTAATTAGTTTTCATTGGGCCAATAATTCATATTTTAATTAATTTGGATCTATTTAATCTAATTTTTGCTCATTATTATTTTCAGGACAGTTTAAAGCAATTTTGAGCTAGAAAGATTGGGTCAAATACCATATTTTATTCTATACAGTGTTAGGATTGAGCGCTTACCACTAGGCCAAAAGCTATAGCTATTAGTCAGAGCGCAACTCTTTTTACTTAAGAGTAACAACCCAAGCGCCACGATTCGATTGTGACTCGGCCCACCCGGCCTCTGCCACAGGACAATTGATGCTACCTGCAATAATCTCCCCCTCAGCAATTGTCCTAGGAGGAATCCTACTTGGATTGTGACTTGGTCCATCTAGCCTGCGCCACCGATTGTGACTTGGCCCACCTAGCCTGCGCCACGGGACAATTGTGTAACCCGCAACAATCTCCCCCTTAACAATTGCCCACCAGGAATCGAACTCATGACCTTGGCTCTGATACCAATTGTTAGGATCGAGCGCTTACCACTAGGCCAAAAGCTATAACTATTAGTCAGAGCGCAACTCTTTTTACTTAAGAGTAACAACCCAAGCGCCACGATTCGATTGTGACTCGGCCCACCCGGCCTCCGCCACAGGACAATTGATGCTACCTGCAACATATAGTTTAAAGCAATTTTAGGCTTGGAAGATTGGGTCAGATGCCATGCCAACTGTCCATTAGAATTAGTTTTTTTTGTTTTTATTTTTTTTATGATATGTTTTGTGGGCCAGTTGGACCCAAACCTAGATTAAGATTAGGGTTAGGGTTATCTATATAAAGGAGAGGCAACCACACATCAAAGAGACCAAGGAAAAAACGCGGAGCCGCATCGCGCAACCGACCTTTGCCCAGTGAGAAGGACATATTGGAGCTACGACACTCCAAATTAGGCGATTCAAAGTGCGTTGTAAAGCTAAGAGGCAAGGCTACAATTGTCTCTCTCATGAGAATTGTTAAATTCCAACCGGAAGGTGGCCAAAATTGAAATCGAAAGTTTACTACGGAATCTGCCCTACATATGTCTCTTCTTTTGCGTTTTCTATTTTTCATGGATAGCTAAATCTTTATATTGATTTTCTGAGGAGAATGCAGTAGATCTTTGAGGTTTTGTTCTTATATTTCGTTTGTTCTCTTAACTTTTCATCTCTTAATCTTAGTGTTGAATTATAATCTGTTTATGCTTAATAAACCGAAACCAATATCACAATTTGCTTAATTCTGTATTAGAGATGAGATTATATGATGTATGCAATGCTTAATTATATAAGGATAATTTGGGTTAATCTTCGCTTAGTTGGTTAATTTCGGGTTAGAATATGGGTTAAAGCAAATTCATTTCGTAACCTAGGATAGGTGACATTGCATTCGAATAAGGAAATAAATTATTTTCTCATTGTTTTATTGAAATTCTATTCTCGTTAATTTACTGCTTATTATTACGCAAAACCCCTTTTATTATTTTTTTGTTGTTTAATCTGCATACTCGTGTAAGAAAATTGGTTTGATCTGTAGTTTATTGGGAGACGACCTAGGAGTCACTTCCTAGTACTACATATTTTAATTGTTGAATTTATTTGGTTGAGTATGACTTCGATCACATATTCCTTCCGAGTTGGGTGTCATGTTCGGTAGTACAAGTAATATAGTTATAAGTACTTTATAGTTTATTTTAAATGAAATTATATTATTTAATACTTGTATGAAGTTCAATATCTTATGTATAATTTCTAATTATGCTTATATAATATGATCTTTATTTTATAGGATGAAGAGAGTGAACATGATATGTCAACACCACAAGGAAGATCTTCTTTGGATAGTAATTTTCATAAAGTTTGACATTAGATGTAAGTATTTCATATTTTCTCGTTAATATAATTATATTGTTAATTACTTCTATGGAGTTTAATATCTATTATATATATTTTTAATTATATTAAGATGATAGAATTTTTATTTCACAGGATGAAGAAAATGAATGAAATATGTCAACATTATAGGAGGATTTGGATAGTAATTTTCATTAAGTTTGACATATATATTGTGAAATTTGTGGATTTATTGACATTGTATCTTAATAGATACACTTTGTTAATGAATAATGTGATGAATATTATTAGACTTTTAAGATGAAATTTGATTCTATCTTAATTGATATTGAATTATATTTAGGTAAACACTTTGTTAAAGTAAATTATATTTTAAAATTATAAATTTAGTCATTTTTTTAATGAGAATCAAACTAATATTTTATATCACTAAAACAAATGAAAAATATATTATACATATTATTTGATTTTTTTAATTATAAATAATTTAGTTTATTGATATATCATATATTTAAATTATTGATTTTATTATAATGATAAAATTATTATTACACTTATCATGATATTTTAAAATAATTTTAAATAAAAAGTATTTTAATTATTAATTATAAAATTATTAAAAAAATAATTTGTAAATAATAATTAAAATTTTGATTTATTAATAAAATAATAAAAAATAGTAATTAAATAATTTTTGACCGTTCTTTAAATCTCAAATAAGTTTTAAATAATTATAAAATATTATATGTTTTAAATAATTATAAAATATTATATATTTTATAGCAATTTTTAATTGTTAAAATATAAAAATAAAAATAAAAATAAAATTTATAAGAATTTTAAATTAACAAAAAATATTAAATTAAAATGAAAATAATAGTACATTTTGTAATGATTTTTAACTATTAAAATTTTTTTAACATAAATACCGATGTCATAAATATTTTTGATATTTATTAATATGACAGTTATATTAATTATTCTAAATTTTATTTTTAACTATTTTTAACTCTATCATCTATCTTTTTAATTATAATAAATAATATATATATATATATATATATATATATATATTACTTCTTTTTCAAAAAATTCTATATCACTTGACAATTTAGTAATATCACTTGACAACTTGACTAAATACATATACCAGTAAAATTATATATACAGATATGAACCTAAAATTATACGTCTTTTTTAATTATCTAACAATAATAGTTTGTAAATACCAAGGAGTTTGAGTTAAAAAATTGTTTACATTGAATTTAAGTTTCAATCTAAATTAATTTTTATCAAGTTGATTTGAATTTGACTGGATTATTTTTAACTCCAATTTATATTTTATGTATTAATTATTAGTTATTTATCAACACATTTTCAATATAATTTAATATTAATTATTTTTATCTGAATAAATTATTTATTTATAATATATAGGTTGTTTTACGCAAATTTTTGATATTTAATCTTCTCATAATCAATATTTCTTCAATTAATATATATATATATATATATATATATATATGTATGTATGATACGTAAATATCATTAAATAATTTTAATTACTTAATTCTTCTTTTTCTACTTTTTTGTTATGATATCAATTATCATAAAAATAATTTTATATCAATTAAATAAATTTCAAATATAAACAACCTTGGTCAAGAGCTACACTTGTTATTAATCAGACTTGACCCGTTATTCTGTAGCTGGTTTAGGGTTCGAACCTGGGATCTTAAGAATATTTACAATTTATCTACGCGGAAGAGGAATGGGAGATACGGAGGGGAACGCTTGCAATGCCGAGCTATTTGATTGCAATGAGGAAGAAAAGAACAAGAAGAAGACGAAGGAAGCGACGGAGAGACTTGATGCGAAAGCATCAGCAGATTCTGCAACTGTAAGCAATGGAGGTGATGTTAGTACTGCTAGTGGCGTTAGGATGTCTCTTTTCGATTTTTCGGTTGAAAGTTTCTTCCGAGACATGGATACCATTGCCAGACTCTGCGGGAAAGAAGAACGTGATGCTGCTATGGACCAAAGCGCGATTCATAGAATTTCTTCCTCGGTTACTTTCTTAAGGTACAAACCAACCAAATAGTTTGATGCGTTACGCAGAGAACCTTTATTGTATTCAATTTTTATAAATTAGGTACATGTATAGAGTTTAGTGCTTATGAGACTGGAGTCTTCGCTTCTAGTGGGTGTATAAGAGGAGTCCATAGTGTTATTCTGTTTCCAGCTATGTTAACTAATATCGTTAACTTCTCCATCGTGTGAAGAAAAGAGAAACAAATGTAAGAACAGAGAGCGATGTAGGAACTCAACTGTGAGAGTAAGAAATATATGCAGGTGTCTTGGCTACAGGCCAACAAACAAACAAAATAGCAACAGTAACCCGAGTAATTATATTATATTAGTTAGCAAGCTATGCTTATTTTCCTGCCTCAGTTTTGTTCCATTTGATTATTCAATTGTTAATTACGTTTTAGATTTATTTTATATTATTTGAATGTGTGTAGTAGCAAATTATTTAGCTTGTATCCACTGCATAATAAAATCATCTTTGAAATGCTTTTTTTGAGAACTATATCTTAGAAGAGTTCTAAAAGTTTGTCCATTCAACTAATTTATCATATTTAACGGTTTGTGATTTGATCATAATGTAATCAAACTTTTGCAATGTTAGTCTGACAATCATTGTAAACTTTCCAATGTCCTACTTTTTCGAAGTTTCCAAATAAATCCTAAATTTCTTGTTTTTCTTGATGTTAAATGTTCAGAGAATGGAGAGATTTTAAATATCCATCAAAAAGCATTAAGTTTGCTTTTGGACTTGAAAGCTCTGATTGTTTTGATGGAAAAGACGTTAGTGCCATAAATTTGCCTCCATTTTCATCTGCCTCCGTTCCTGAGGTACATGATTTTAGATATCGTATACTCTATTTGTTTCCTGCCCAATTTTGTCAACGTAAATCTCCTCATAACATTTTACCTTTTCATCATTCCTAATTAGATTTTCCACACATTATCATTGTATATGTTTTCCGTAGCATGATATGCAAAAGGAGCAACTTGGGGAGGACATATCTCAGGAATGCAGGTATGGCTAAGATAGAGTGTATTGTTTTATTCATTGACATGGCTATGCAGTTATTATAACAATTATCTTTGAACATGCTGATAAACATGGCTATGCAGTTATAGTAACAATTATCTTTGAACATGCTTATAAATGAAAGCATTTTATCCCTTCTAATTATTTAACTTGGCTAACACTTCAAGTTTTGTTGCAGAGATTTTGTGATGAATGTGGGAGGTCCTGTATGGGCATTAGATTGGTGTCCTCAGATACATGAAAAGCCCGATTCTTCAATAAAATGTGAGGTACTGGGTTAGCTGTCTTCCTTTATCACATATCAAGCCTTATCCTAGATGTTTTCTTTTTGCTGCTGTGATGAGAAGTCTTTACTGCATAATGCAATCCAAATGATTAATTCTGTTTTTGTGATTAGGATGCCTTGCATGTTAAGGCTAGTTTTGCATATTTGAAGTAGCACGTTGACAAAATACCAAAGTTAGAGGTGGTAGTGGATAATGACGTTTGAAGATTTTTTATTCTGTCCAATTTCTATCACATTCATAAAATATTGATGTTTTAAATATATTTTTATGGCTTATGAGTTTTTAAAGTGGATAGCTGTTTTTTGTGTGGCAGCATCCTATGGTTGTTGTCAATAGAGCTTGGAGAGAAATTCTCAATCTTAAGGAAAATTCTTTATTATATCCTGAAATCTTCTTCTTGACATCCCTGTTTGTTTATAACTAATTTTCAATTCAATCTAATTGAACTATTCTTCTAAACATTAGCTCTTTTGTTTTTTCTTTCACAAATTGATTACCTATAATGAAATGAGATGCATTAAATGAAAGGGAAAATGTTTTTTTTTTATGTATTTTGAATAATTGTGTATGCGTGATTATTTTGTTTGTCTGCACTTGTACATTTTATATGCAGTGAATTGATAAACTAAGCTATGCTCTTTACTCTTTAGACATGAAAATGGAAAATAATAAACATTTTTCTTTTGTAAACCTGGCACATTAAATGACCTTCTATGTGATATTTTTGTTTTAGTTTATTGCTGTCGCTGCTCATCCACCTGGCTCTTCTTATCACAAGATGGGTGCCCCACTTACTGGCAGAGGTGTCATACAAATATGGTGTCTTCTAAATATCAGGGATGACAATGACAAATCAACCAAAAAAACGGGGCCTAAGGGAAGACCTAGAAAAAATCCAACAGTGGTAGATGATATGAATTGTGATAAAACAGATGGAGACACAAATGATAAATCAACCCAAGTAAAGAAGCCTAAAGGAAGACCTAGAAAAAATCCAACAGTGGTAGATGATATGAATTGTGATAAAACAGATGGAGACACAAATGACAAACCAACCCAAATAAAGAAGCCTAAAGGAAGACCTAGAAAAAATCCAATAGTGCTAGCCGTGGATAATATGAATTGTGATAAAAAAGATGAAGGTGCCAATGAAAAATCAACACAAATAAAGAGGCCTACAGGAAGACCTAGAAAGAATCCTACAGTCACTGCATTGGATGATGCAAATTGTGAGGTCCAGTATTCACCAGCAACTCTTGCTGTTCAATTTCTGGAAAATTCTACGGGGTTTCCTAATCCAGATGGAAATCATGGAAATAATGAAGAAATACTTCCTAATAAAGATGGAGGCACAAATGACAAATTGACACAAATAAAGAGGCGTAGAGGAAGACCTAGAAAAAATTCCATAGTAATTTCAGTGGATGATGTGAACTGTGAGACCCAGAACAAGTCAGCTTGTGATGTTCAAGTTGAACAAAATTCGACTGAGTTTCTTGCTTCAGATGGGAATCTTGAAAACAATGAAGCAAAGCTTATTACATACAAAAGAAAAAGAGGAGCTAAGAAAAATGAAGAGACAGATGAAAAATCAGCACTAATAGAAAGGCCTAGAAGAAGACCAAAATCAAATTCAAAAGAAGTAACAGCTGATGATCCAACTTGTGATAATGAATCTCTGCCTCTTGATATTCAAAATTCAGAAGATTCAGCTGAATGTCTTTCTCCAGATGTGGCTCTTGACAATTGCAATGAAAAATCAGTACAGAGGCTTAGAAGAAGACCTAAATCAAATTCACTAGGAGTAATGACAATCGATCCAAATTGTGAGAATGAATCTAGTAGGCCTCTTGATGTTCAAGTCCCAGAAGATTCAGCTGAATTACTTTCTCTAGATGTGGCTCGTGACAATTGCAATAGATATGCTTTGCGACAATGTTCTGTTACAAAGCAAAGACACTCAAAGGAAGCTGTTTCTGCCTACAATACTATTTCAAAACCTATTGTTAAAAGCAGAGGATTGAAAATTAATCATACGGAGGGGAGATGTGGTCAAGATACAAGTCAGCCACTACAGTATGATAACGAGGCAAATCATCAACTAAATTGTACCTCAGAATTGGAAGCTCCACGGACTACTTGTTGTATTCCAGAAGATGTAACTTTGCCTAGGGTAGTTTCATGCCTAGCTCATAATGGAAAAGTGGCATGGGATGTAAAATGGCGACCTACTAACATTTCTGATTCTTTTTGCAAACTCCGAATGGGCCATCTTGCTGTCTTGTTGGGCAATGGGTCTTTGGAAGTGTAAGATATCTTGAACCTCATTCTCCATTTGGTATTGTTTTTCTTGAAGATTTATGATTTTTTTTTTCGCTGTGTTTATATGTTGTTTCTGCTACTCCTTCATTAGATTTGAATTATTTGAAAATTTTCTATTTTAAAGAAATACATTTCTATTATAGTATAATACTGTGTGGCAGAATACCATTGCTCCTCTAGTTAGTTGTTTAATCTAGTTTTCTCTTGTATTGATTGTGCTGCCTGTTCACTTACTGTATCTTAGTGTAAGGAATGAATTGAATATAACAAAAAGTGTAGAAGAAAGAATGACTCAATTTTGGGTCAGATTGTACTTCATCAACCCACTCTAAATCGTGAAATTGGAGGTGCCTGTGTATGTCTTTGTCTTGGATAGAGCATCAGCTGCACCATTTTCACAACCTGTTTTATATTTTATTTCAATGTCAAGATTCAGCAAGTTATATATCCATTGAGCTGGTCTTCTCCCCTTAATCCTTCATCATTTAGAAATCTGAGACTTTTCTGATATGTTTTAATGATAAAATGTTTGCCCATTTGATAGTCTCTCCTCTTTTGAACTGTTATCACAAATGCCATTAACTCCCTTTCATAGACAGATTTCAACTAAGCTCTGTCTGATAGTGTCTAGCTGAGAAAAGCCACTGGTCTACCCTCTTGTAATAATACTTCCCCCAACCCTTTATTAGATGGATCAGTCTCTACTATAAAGGATTTTGTAAATTCTGTACAGTAAGGGTGGGTAATTCTGCCATCATTGCTTTGAGTGTTTCGAAAGCTTCTTGGGCCTGCATATCCCACTGGAAACTTGTTGGAAGCCTCCAATATCTGCCTCATGTCATGTGACATGGTTTAAATACCTGTTAGGCTATTTCTAATATTGTCAATTGGTTTTATGCTAGAAACTTAACATGATATCAGAACCAAAAACCAATTTCGTAAGAGTTGCCCTTTCGTTGTGGGTCAAAAGTAGTATCCTTTGCCTAGTCCGGTAGGTTTTGTTGGAGGGAAGTCCTATATCGCTTGTCTCATGTCATGTAATATGGTTTAAATACTTGTTAGGCTATTCTTCATATTGACAATTGGTTTTATGTTAGAACCTTAACAAAACTATCCTTCAAAATTAAATTTGAAGGTCTGGCGATCTTGACATAGTTTCTTACAAACCTTGGTTAATATCCCATGAGGCCTAGAAATCCCTTAAATTCCGTTATGACTTTAGTCATTGCCCAAGACATCATCACTTTCATTTTTTTCGGGTCTGTGGCCACTCCTTATACTGAAACAGTATGATACAAGTACTCTAACTTTATTCTGAATGAAACTGCATTGTTTTTATGTTGGAAAAAGCTTATGATCTATTAACTTTGTGGTACCACAAGAAGATGCTTCACATTATCCTCCTCACCCTACTGTAAACCCTTTGTGAGTTCTGAAAGCCTGGAGATGTTTTCTTTCTTCATTCTTATTATACTAGGATTTAACGTCAATTTGGAGAAAATGATGGCTCCACCTCAACAACTCATCAATTATGGGAATTGGAAACTTACTGAGGACGGTGATTTGTTTAATGCTTTATAGTGTATCCAAAACCTCCATCTTCCATCCATCTTTCTCACAAGAATAATTGGGCTTGCGTAGGGACCTACACTTGCCTTACGAAATTAACATATACATCACCAATTTTTCTATTTCATTTTTTTGAACATGAGGGTATTGGTATTGTGTTAAAATTTGAAATTTCCGCCCCTTCAACACAATAGCATGATTTTGTCTCTTGTTGGTAATAGCCACTGAGGACCTTGAATACCTCCCCATCATCTTCTAGAACCTTCTTTATTTTGTCAGGAATGTTGTCCTAAATATGACATTCTTTTTCCAATTCTTTTCATTATGTAAAGCTTTATATTCTATTTTAAAAGAGGTAGACCAAGATAAATAATTTTTGCAATTCAGCTTGGCAATGGTAATATTAGGAGTGACTGAAAAAGGGGAGCTTGTTGTAGATATTTCAGATAGAGGAGGAGCTAACTGGAAGCCCTAAAAAAACCATAGCAGGAGGGGGAAGACACGAGACCCTGTCCCAAAGGACCTCCAAATAGAGAACTAAGGGCAACAATTGAGGCAAAACGTGTCGACAAGTCGAACAGAAGTTGCACGACACGATTCCAATCACGGGAAGGCGACGCATGGGACTCACATGCCTGAGATTGGAGCGGTGGATGCGGAGGCAAATCATGTCACAATTTGTGGGGTTGGGTCAATTACCTCTAGGCACACCAAACCCTGTGTTTATGTTCTAAACTGTGTCGGATGGTGGTGGATGGAGGCCCTAGGTGGCCGGAGATGACCATTGACAAAGGAAATGAGTGCGGGATCTTACCCTTTCTCATACCAACTTGACAAACTTGTTTAGGGTTCCAAGACTGTGTCAAATGACACTAGCACTCTTATATTTATAAGAGAGAGTATAAAAAGAGGTTAAGCCTCTACCCAAATCCTAACCATAATAGCATACATCAAGAAAAGGCTAAAAAATACAAAAACATATCTCAACAGTATTTTGCGTCTATCATCTCTTTGAGTTTGCTTCCTCTAAAAGATCCCACTAACTTGATATTGTTAGATGTAGTTGATGAATTTGCTCTTTTATTACCTTGTTGCATTTGCTTCTGGGTTCCTGTTTTCCATGTAATAATTCTTGTTGAAGGAAAACTTCTATGTGAACTACTCCCCTGGTTACTCCAAGAAACTCCCGTGTCAACAACATATTCTTTGTCAACTTTCTAAGCATAGTCCATCAATTCAGGTAAGTTTCTCAATTGATATAACTTCAAATCCAACCTAATCATGTTGTGAGAAATCAAATAGTATTTTAGGAAAGAATAAATTAGGAAATTTGTATATTTCCTTGTAATCTGTACAGATTTGAATAATTAGGAACAATCCCATAAATCAAGGGATCCTAGCATAAAATAGAGTTATTATATTTCCTAAAATAGCTTAGGTCTCTTGTATATATCTTATATCATCTCTTTGTATTTGTTAGATATTGTTTAGATATTATTTAATATTGTTAAGATATTGTTAGATATTAACCATAATATCAAACAATAATATCTAACAATATCTTCTGTTTATTCTGTTACTTTCAGTTTTAGTTGTATCTCTTTACTATAAATAGACTACCCTATGTGTGATTTATACACAAGGGAGATTAATCCCAAACTCTATTTCTTCTATATTCAACATGGTATCTAGAGCTTAAGGTTATTTTGAATTTTTTTTTTCGCCTTTGACCACTATTGAAGCCGTCACCACCGCCGCTATCGCTATCGGTTATTTGGTAATGTGAAAGTGCATGTCTAGGAAAGTTCTGACAAGGAAAGACTTGGTATTTAAGCGTGTCCATTAGTGACTCACCTCTCTTTCCTGGGAACTTACCTGGTGTACCTGGTGTACTGGTTCACGCCGCTGTCACTATCGCCTCTGCCCTTTATGAGTTCTTCCGCTCCTTTTAGTACTTCCAATTCTGTCAGTACTGCGTCTGATCCTTCCATCTACACTAACTATGTTAATGTGCACTTATCCATTGACAAGTTAACTGGTCCTAATTATGCCACATGGTCATCAGACGTCAGATTATGGCTTAAGAGTCAGAAGTATCTTGATCATCTTGCCCCGAAAGCACCTACTCTCACTCCTGGTGAGGAAGACCGTTGGGACACCATTGATGCTCAATTATGCCTGGTTCTCAAGGGTACTCTTGATCCTTCGTTAAAACAAATTTTTCGTTCCTACGAAACATGTGCCAAAATCTGGGAACATGCCAAGTTATTATACACCAATGATACTCAACGTCTCTATGATGTCTGTTCTAAATTTGTAGATGTTATTGCCTCTAAACATCAATATTCTATGACTCGATTATATGGGCAAAATTCATGCTCTTTTTCATGAGTTCAATGAGTTATTGCCTCCTTCCCCAGACCACCTACCGAGATAGGACAACGATCAAAGTTCTTCATGCTAGGGGCATTACACGGACTTGCTGATCAATATTCACATATTCGTGATCAGATTTTGGGTTCTCCGATTGTCCCTACCTTGACATCAACCTGCTCCACTCTTTTGCGTATACCAGCAAAACTCAACCCTGACACACCTGCTTCTGTTAATGATTCTTCTGCATTGGTATCTCACCGTGATGATCGAACTCGCCCTCGCAAACAGGAAAAAAGGCGTCCTAAGTGTGAACATTGTGACAAACTAGGTCACAAGATTGACCAGTGTTATGCATTACATGAGTGTGAACATTGTGGCAAACTAGGTCACAAGATTGACAAGTGTTATGCATTACATGGTCGTCCTACTCGATCTACCGCAGTTGCTCAGACTGATTTTTTTCCACCTTTATCTGCTAAGGATCCTCCTTCTTCTATTTCATCAGACACACCTGCTATGTTCAACAAATTTCTCAAATGGTATAAGGATCAACAGTCTTCTAGTTCCACTATGTCCGTCGCACACACGGTACATCTTTTGTTGAGTCCGACCCAATCTTCTTCTAGTCCTTGGGTTTTTGATTCAGGAGCCACTGATCATATTACTGGTAACAAATCTTTGTTCTCCTCTTTATCCTCTCCTGATCCTTTACCTTTTGTTACACTAGCTGATGGCTCTAGAGTATCATCTCATGGTGTTGGAACTGTTAAACTTTTCCCTTCTTTAACCATTGATAATGTTCTTTATGTCCCTGGGTCTCCTTTTAACCTGTTATCCATCAGTCGTCTAACTCGTTCTCTTGATTGTGTTGTTTCTTTTACCAACAATTCTGTGTGTTTACAGGACCGGAGTTCGAAACAGGTGATTGACACAGGATGTGAGTCTCATGGTCTTTATCATCTTCGTCCCTTTACACATGTTGGTGCAGTTATAGTCTCCCTCTCTTCTCCATGCTCAGTTAGGTCATCCAAGTCTTGCCAAGTT